GGTATTAGAGAGAAGAAAAACTTCGCTGTCGTAAACAATTCGGCTAACGTCTTCGCAAAGGAAGTGTATTATACCTTACAAGTTCTTCTTAAGATGAAATAAACATTCCAATTTTTTAAATTCATTCATGTAATCACGATATCGAATTCTCTCCTTGATAAAGATAAGTGAATTTTATTTTTTTAGTCAAACTTATACGTTGATACATAGCTCAAGCTATCTTATAACTACCTTCCTACGTTCTATCGATTCCCTTTAATTAGTTTTAGATTATCAAAATTGCATTTGCATTTTTTATGTTCCGATGATTTTGTGTCAGACTGGCAGCACTTGTGAAATACGAGTGTGCGGTTACTAAACGTCCGTCATTTGATTAATCTTAAACTATTTATGAGTTAAATTATTTGCATATGATTTTTAAATTATTTGACACAAACAACTCAGCTACGTATTTAGAAAGAACAGTTACCCGGCTCCGTACAGAGACGTCATGAGGAATTTCGTGCCAGACAGAGACATTTCCCAACCTGAAATCGGGTGTGACAAAAAGCTTGATCACACACCTAGCACTTTTAGCGATAGGTCCTCGGCTGCGTCTTCCGCGTGTCCGTGTCGATGTGATGTTGTGTTGTGTCGTGGTGTGTGTATGGGTTTGTGATGAGCCGCCTGCCAGGTGCGAATAAGAAAGCGTGTTCGCGTTGGCGGCGTCGAGTAATCGAATCACCCCGATCAGTTCATTTCGTGACTCGGTGGGATCTCTCAGCTGAAGCGCGCATGGCAGGATCGAATGGGGGTGCCGCTTAGCTAATTGAAGGCAGCGTGCAGCGCCCCGCCACCGCCACGCACCCCGCCCGTGCCCCGCCCCGCGTCACCGCTGCCGATGCGCACGTTGTCTGCGACGGCAAAACGCGCAACCCCACTGCTGATTCGGCCCGCGCCGGCCCTCCCAGCCCAGTTCCGAACGCGGCTTATCACGTTGTGGGTCCACAGCGGAGACGTACGACAACAATTAGTACGGACATGCGCGGGGGAGGACGAGTAGCTTTACGTAAGCCGTCGATACCTGGAACCCTGACAACCAGCGTCTATCTTTGTGTGTGCGCGCGCCAGTGTGAAAGAGAGCGTGGGAGTCATAAACTCGTATTTCATTTCAATTAGCGACGTCCGTATCTACTTCACCTCTGTACCATTCTTGTCAAAAACATTTCGTTATCTGGTACTTTATCGCACATAATGTATTTAAACACATGCTCCGACTTACCGAGATAAGGGATTGAAGGCGATAATGCAGACTTGGAAATTGTCGAAATTATTAGTGCTATCAGTGTGATTTGTTTGCGCGGTCGAATCGTTGCATCGGCGCTCGTCCCTTCCCAGGAAGCGGGAGTCGACCTGGTAGTTTCTGGCCGGGCGCTTCGTGGCGGCGGATTATTGATTGTCGGAAGTACGCGTGGTGAGAAATCAACTCTCAAACGTTGCCCCGAGTTCCTTCGGCAACGGGCCTGCCGACTGGGGCATGTAAGTAATTAAAAATCCACATTCGGTCACTACTGGAGGGAGAGGATGTAGAAAGGTTCTTCACGGGAACTGTCAATTTTATTATTTTTTTTTTAAATACGGGAAGAGGCGGGGTAATCAAATAATGTAAAGTTCGTTAGATTGTCATTCATCGTTCCTGCGAGCGTTATTTTAGGCCGAGTCCACAAGGGGGCGTATGCCGCACATCAGACCCACCGCCATTTTTCAACAGGTGGAATCTTATCTGTGTGACGTCATAATGGCGTCGTCTGGCTACTCTGCATGATCGCTTTCGACGCCTTTTTTCCATATTTTGTTTTGTTGTTGATTTTTTTTTCTTCTAACATTGATACCAGCTTGTGAAAAGTTTTGCAGTCGGCCTGTTAGCAACGACCACTCAGTGCAAAAGTATTCATTTGTAGCAATGTGACCGCGTAGTTCGTGCGAAAAGTCGCCAAGTGGCAAGCCAACATAAGTGAAAAGTAGGGTAAATTGCGGTATATTAGACACTGTGGAGGCAACAAACACATTCGGGCATGTATACGTAAGAAATAGAAGCACTAGTATTGAAGTGAAAGAATAATAATTTTCTTAAAATTACAAGAGGGTGAATCTGAATGTGCATGATGGGCAGGCGGGGTGGCGCTGGTGTGCATAAAAAAACCAAAGGCACTGGGGGTAGTAGTGAAGGTGACAAAAATTTTGAAGACATTTACCTGACTGCCCGAAACGTTTGCTGGGTCCTCCAGACACTCGACTCGTGGTTGGGACGACGGGGCGTGTATCTGTCGTGCGGACATGGCGTCTCTAACCTAGACAAGGGCACTTCCACCACCTACGCCGCATCGCTCCCTTGACATGCACTTTGCCGTCAGAAACCACCCTCGTCGCGACCGCTGCCGCACGCGCGAAGCGGCGGTCCGGGAGGGGGGAGGCGGCGACGGCGCCCCGAACGGCTGCCGGCGGCGGTGTCCGTCGTCGCACCCGGTGTCGAACTCACGCCCTCGCACGCGGCCGGCCCGGGGGGGCGTCGGTGTCGCCCGGCGTCGCTCCGCGAAGCGGCGGCGGCGTCGACGGCGGCGGCGACGGCGGGAGGTGCTCGCGGCAGCCCGCGGCCTGGCCCAGCCCAGGTCAGGCGAGGTCACCTCGCCCGGACAGCGCGTCGCGACGGCGTGAGGGCGTCGGCCGAGTCCCGCGCCGCGACGCCTCGCGCGAATAGCCCGCTCGCGGCTTGTTTTTCTCCTAGGAAAACTCGGAAAACTAGGCAGGAACGTGGACAGTAAGCAATATTGACAGCAGGCAGGGCGGTTTGGAGCACCTGGCACTTCGTCCGTTTTCGCTGGGGCTCGGGCGAGGCCGCGCGGCCAACCTCCGGGCTATCGATCCCACAGGCGCCGACGTGGCGCGCCCGCCCGCCCGACCGACCGACCGCCCGACCGCCTAGGTAGCAGGCATTCGGCGCGAGGCCGGGCTTTTTCTCTCCCCGGCTAGGCCAGGCCAGGCTAGGCGCCTGCCTTCCCCCGCGCCAGGGCGCAGGGTGCGGCCTCATCATCGGTAGACATTCCTTTTTGCCGTGACAATAAGCGGCTTAAGGGAAGTTCGGGAAAGGATGATCATTACCGGCCTTAAATGCCGTTTAGACGTTCAAAAATAATCTCCTATTTTTACATTAAAAAAAGTAATAATAATTGTGTTCAATCGAATGTACTGCAGTTATTTTCATTTCTCTTTTCCGTTTACTTAAAGACGCCCTGTTATAGTTTACTATAGATTACTGTCCTTTATGAGACGAATTTTCCAACGATTTTTAAATTTTCCAAAGTAGAATAATTGTATAAACTCCTTCCATTTGTTTTGCAAGGTCACGCTCGAAACAAAATGATCGAATAAAAAGAGTCATAACCCACAAAAAAAATTCTTGTGATCGGTACAAATGCAAAAAATCGACAAATTCTGTGCTATCGAAAGACCATCGCGCCTTGAGAAGAAATGAAAATATTAGTCGAAATCGGGCCTCTTAAATCCTATAATTCACCCCTGAACGGGGGCGACAGAACGAACAAAGCCTATGTGGGCGTCCATTCCTTGGCGCGACGCCTGGTCCACGCCCGCGCCCGCTGCTGCCCCCGCCCTCAGCTCGCCCGCCCGCCCCCGCCACCGCCCGTGCCCACGCCAGCCCGCGCCCGCGCCCGCCCGCGCCACCACGCAGAACCGCTCCCAAGGAAATCGGAAAAGGGCGGCGTCCCGGGCCCTGCCCCTTTCTCGCTTGGCTATTCACTCAAATAAGAACTTCCTTTGATCATCATAGGCATTATGGCCCCATCCAGAAGTCACTTCATCTCTGCCTCTGGGATCTAGACAACAATGCAATTGCATTGTTATCAACAATGTGTTTCCAAAATATTGATCATATTGTTGCCCGATTTTGAGAACTATTTCAACACGGAATTCATTCTTATGAAATTGATTTTTACAACAGTTACACAACCTACAATGTATCTTATTTCGATTGTTAGATCTTAGATGTTATTGTTATTTCAATTTTATTTTTATTGCATCTCATTGTTTATGGAAAGCACTGTTGACCATTGGGTAATTGTTAACAATTGTTGTTTTCTAGTTTTTCAGTATTAAAACTGTCTTGAGTAGAAAAAAATATATGTCCAAATGACAGTATTGGTAAAAGTCAACGACAAAGGGCAATAACATTTCAGTAAAGAAATTTAATAAAATAATTTCGAAATAAATAAGCAATAAGATGTTTTTTTTTTATTTCACAAAAGCACTTTATTGTTACGATACCATTGAAATTGTATGACAACAATGCATAAAATAATACAAGTTTTACGGCAAACAAATTCTGTGCTTGAACGTGGCATGTGTTATAAAAGTCTCCGATATACTCAACCATGCGCGCTCAGAATATTCTGTAACGACTGCTGCCGGCAACAATGGCGCAGCTCTGTGGCAGCGCGTGCGTTTTCTTTGCACAGTGCGATGAAAGCGGCACACAATATCGCGTGATCGCAATTTCATTTGTTATGTCTGTTGTTTGCTCAACAATGCTTTAATTATAGTAGAAGTATTTTTTACCTGAAAAACAACAATGGCAGTCAAATTCAGATTAGCGTGAAACTCAACAATGTATGTATTTAGTACTTAGATCTCACTAAAATTCGCAAATATGGGAAATCATGTTTTTGATAAGTTGATGTTCTGACCGTTTGGAATATATCCTTTGATTTTTTTATTTGCAAAAAGCACATATGTTATAAAAAGAAAACAACACCACTGTTGATATTATTCCATTTAAAAAAAATAAATGTGGCGTATTCAGAAAAAAAATTTATACCTATTACATTTTTTTAAAAAAATGTTATTCTTACAAATATGATCAATAGCATTGTTGGGGTAAATGTTTCGTTCAATGAAAAATGACGCATAGCATTGCAGATTACTAAAAAAAATATATGGTGCGAAACAGTATTAATAGTACAGAGCATAATATTATTTTTTAATTGTTGGGTCTTACTTATTACTAACATATAATACGAATTGTGATATCATTGTTGTAAATCGCATGACGAGACGAGCGCGGAATTAAAGTTTGGACATTCATAACTGTCCAAATCCCCTAGGAAAATTAAATAAAATGGGTTTGTTGATTTTTTTTTGTGATTTATAAATTTAATTATTTAATAATCTCTCATCATTGTTTCTATATTTCTGTTAATGTAAGAATGTTTCCATATGTACATTAAATATTTGGCAAGAGCGTAACAATTAAATAATAAACATAAAACACAGCGCGTACTTCTCACATTACGATACGTCAATTAGTGATTGCGCGCAATGAAGTCTTAGCGCCTTATTTCTGCGTGTCTTGCACGACCGCGATGGTGGTCAGGCCTATCGGGCATCAATCCGGTTGGCAGACGGAGCAGCCGTGCGCAAAAGCGCGGAGGCAGTACGGGTATCTAGTTTGCGCTGTATTTTCTTAAAATCAGGTAGGTATAACGTGTTTCTGGCCTGTTTTAGTTGTTTTATTGTTTTGTGAACAGCTATGTTCGTCTTGTTTTATTTTTGGAGCACCTCGGCACGATTCATGTTCGTGAATATGGCCGCTTTTTTTGTGCGCTTTGAAGTTTTCTTTGCAGCCATGATGGCTAAGTGAACCTACCGGGTCATAAGCTAGTAGGCGTCGTACTTGGAAGGTCGTGACTTGGGGAGGAGGTTCGTGTGCTCAGATTTTCGTGGTTTAAAGTGGTAAAAATAAGTATTTGTGCTTACAATTTAGTGTATTATGACAATTTTTAACAGTAAATGACGTTTTATAGTCAGAAATACTGTGATTTTTTTTATTTTCGTGTTTTAAGTGATGTGAGAAGTGTTGCGCTCCGGAACGGACCGAGACGTGCGTGAAGGCAGGATGATAGAAATGTGGATTATTGTGGAATTACAAGCGTGTACGTCATGACAACTGTATTTTTCCGTGTTTATGAACTTTTCTGGTGGTGCAAGTGTGTTTTCTTGATGGAATTAGTGATAATTTTGCTTGCTTCTGGGAGATGGTGAAAATGACAGCTGTCGCCGGATATCGCGCAAACTCGTGTCTGACTGTCTTATAGACGTAATTTGTCTTATTTATGAATTAACTTCTGTGTTTTTACGCAATTTTAGTGAATTTTTCGATTTTATTTAGATTTGTTAGGTCAACATACCGTGTACATTAGTGCGACGTGAGAGCAATGTCGCGCAAGTAGTGCGCGAATTAATCGAAATGTAATTTATTTTTAACATGACATGTTGAATTTTACATCGAAACGTGCGTTATTTAGTGTGTTCAAGTGAATTCCATAACATTTTCTGAAGAAGTGTCGCGAAAGAAGCGCTTAGCAGAGAAATACCGAAGTGCTGTCAGTGTACCGCGCGCAACTTGCACCGTTCTTAACGTCAGTCGAGCGTGTTGTTGATTATTATAAATCGGTTGTATTAGTTTTTGTTGTTGTAATAATTGTCCGAAACCAGCAGTTTTGATTATGTGAGATACAAATATGCGAGTTGATCGTAATTTCTCCAATAATTTCGTGTTCGTACTGCAACATTATACAGATACGTCAAAACCATTTTATGATCATTATTTTAATAACAGAACAGCAGAAGCTGAGGATATTCGGAATATCTCGGATATTCGTGAATATTAAATTTTTCAATAATCCGTTACTTGTCCAATAAACAACGAATAAAATATTTTTTGTAAAAAAATAAAAAATTCTGGCAGTAACATAGATTGTTCTTTTCAGGGTAGAAGAAAGAAAAGTTAGAATAATGAGAAATAACATAATACCAAAATAATAATAATAACGCTGAAGAAGAAAGTGAGGATTGGAAAATCAGTGCAGCAGGTGGATCTGTGGTCCAGTGTTTTAATTTAATGTGGTGAGAAAAATCTGTCAGCCCAAATGGGAGAGGTTGCAGATCCTGAACAGCAGTATAGTCTGCGGTGGAATGACTTCCATGCCAGCATTCTTTCATCCTTTCGACATTTAAGAGATGAAGAGGACTTTGTCGATGTAACATTAGCATGTGAGGGATGTTCATTCACTGCTCACAAAGTTGTGCTTTCAGCCTGTAGTCCATATTTCAGGCGACTCCTGAAGGTAAGCTTCATAACCTTACTCTTTAACAGATATTGCTACTTCCTGTAGTTCTCATCTATTGTGACTTCAATTTGCTACCATTTACGACCCAAATGTTCATAAAATTCCCTCAGAAGCATTGTAGTTAAATTTGAAATAGCATCAAATGGACTACTCCATTTCTTAAAAATTAGTTTTGGCGATAAGGAACACTTTGGTTATGATATTAGAGATTGTGTAATTTTTGATTTTAAAAGGTATAACAAAAATAGTTTCCAAATGTACTGGATAAACATGTTATGAGTGTTTTGGAATCTGTTTTCAAAGATACAAATTTATTTTCACCCTTTTTCTTTAATTGTAGGCTAATCCTTGCCAACATCCAATTGTAATCCTTAGAGATGTCAAAGAAAAAGATATGGAATCTTTATTGCGCTTCATGTACAATGGTGAAGTGCACATTGGCCAGGAGCAATTGTCAGACTTCCTCAAAACTGCACAAATGCTGCAGGTGCGAGGGCTGGCTGATGTTCCCACCAAAGAAAGCCAAAAATTGCCACCTGTAAGTGTGATAATGCCCAATACATAAATCTTGTTTCATTGTTTGCTCTAAAATAATGTACACCATGCATTTTCACTCTTTTCAGACCTCAAATGCTCTTAATTGGTCTCAGGCAAATGATATGAGAGATAGCTACAATGATGATGCTGTGTCTCCGCCTCCTAAAAGAAGTCGTAATAACGAACATCGGTTTTCTCCATCACCTACTCCTTCTGCCACTCATAACAACAACAATAATAATAATAACAACAATGTTGATCCTTTGCGAGAGTCTCTGCTTGGACAGGCCTTGGAAGGCACTCCCTCACTTCATAATGTTAATACATCTCATCAGGTGAATTGTTTTTTCTCTACAAGATAATGAAAGTGAAATGGGTACTTAACTGTGGTTAATAGTTAATAATTTTTTAACTCGGAGTGTAATTTAGTATAAAGTTATTTTGGTGATAATTTGAGGAATAAATATTATTTGCCATAATTTATATATTTCCAACATTTTTTGGATAATTTTGATTATTATGCTTTTTCTGCAAGTTTTCTTATTTACAAATATATGTGCAGAGTAAAGGCAACTCCGACTCATCACTGCAGGCACAGTCTACTGGCGAGGACTCAAACTCTAGTGATACTGCTGCATCTGATCGTGGAGGACCCATGTCTGACTTAGTACAACCCAAATCCGAGCCTAGTGACTACAGTACGATGGACGACAATCACCCAGGCAATGGTAGCATGGGTTTGGATCATCAACGTACCCCTCCTTTCCCAGCTGCTCTACTTGGACTTCAAGGTAATATATTGGATTAGATTGCATTTAATTTTCATGCCAGATTTTATTTGTGGTGATTCATTTATTGATTTCTCCTCAATGTACTTCAGGTATTCCTGGATTGATACCTGGACCTTCAGGACTTCACAACAGCAATCAAGATGCCAACTTTGGTAAGTACAGAGTTTTTGATAAAATAAAGTTTTATTTTACGTATGAATTAGCCGCAATGGGTTGTCACAAAAGAAGAATACAGTAGGCTTTGTATAAACAGTATTTTGAAAAGTATTCTTCTTATGTTCTAAGTTTGTGTATGCATGAGTGCGAGTGATGTTAATTTGTACTTTTTCGTAAGTAATAAGTATCTATTTTTAATCTGAAGCAGTCTCTTGTACAATGTTTTAGGTAGAACAATTAGATGAAAGTAATACACTTTGCATTTGTCTGCTTTGTATGCTTTTACTGTTAGTTTGTGCTACAATTTGCTTGTGCTTTTTGTTGTTGTTTTTTTTGTAAGATGAGGGGGTAAATAAAGAGAGGTGGTTTTATTTTTCAGTGTATTGATATCATTTAAGTCATTTCTGTGTACTTGGCTTCACACTCATGTTTTGTGTGCAAAGAGGCATCTTGGCAGACATTTGTTCTGTTGTTTTTACTTTTTTTGTTTGTTTGCTTGCTTGCAAATTCTCAGTGTTAATTTTATTTGAGCATTTTATTTATAAGGTTCCAATACACAATGTTAATATTAAGAATAAGATGAGAGAAAATACAAACATTAGTAATGTGTATAAGTTCAATAACATTTCAGATTTTAATAGGATTTTTAGTTATATTGTTTGGTCTAACAAATACATGCAGTTTTGCATTTTGTTTTTAAGAGTTACAGAGTAGGTTTTCTTTAAAATATGTCCGTCTCTGGAACTTTTCACACATACAGAATGAATAGAGTTCAGTTTTTACAAACCCTCTCTTTAGGCTAATACAATAATTTGATTTTTCTGTGATAAGATCAAAATTTTTATAATGACAAGCACAGATGTACTTTATGCAGTGACAGAATGTATTACTGTCATATTAATATTGTAGAACAGACAATGCATCTTTTAGGATGATGAACCATTATCACACAGTCACATTAGAACATGTTCAATTCTTTATCATTTGATGCTGTAAGGTAACTGTATCAAAATTGTTGTGACTTGACAAAACTTTGAAACATACACATGTGGGATGTTTTATTATATTGCATAAGTAATGAATTCTGAAACAGTTTTATTTTGTTGAAATAATTGGCAAGAATTCAGAACTAGGTTTGCATAAAGTGTAATGCTGATAGTAATATTTTATTGGAGGTAGAAAGAAGGGTAGTTTGAAAACATTCATAATGCTAAATTATTAAATTTAGTAGTAAACTCTGTTAAAACAAAGATAGAACTACAATATTGTTCCATCATTTTTTATTAAGAAGGAAAGAACAGAGAGACCATTGCCTCTATGGAATTGTTTGAGTGTGAATTATTTTACTAGTGAAAAGTGTAATTTTGAGGTTCGTGAAATGTTTGATGTTGCACTTTTGGATCATGGAAAATCAGTGTTGATCATTCAGAAATGTGTATTTGGCAATTAGTATAGTTTTGTGTACAGTGAGGAAATATTATTTTATATTAGAATAAAAATATTTGTATTTGCATTTCTCTTACTTTTGCATGATCAGATGTGTCAAATTCACTTTTTCAATCTTTTTACTTTTGTTATTTGCCTATTTTTGTTAATAGTTTACTTATGTTAGTTTAATATTTCTTACATACAGTTTTCTTATAAATACCTTCTACAACTTTGATATAATGTGTCCTATTTTAATTTTTATGGCTTATTTGTGCTTCATTGGTAGCTTCTATAGGAATCCCAGGTTCATCATACTGTGTCATGTACAGTTTTTTAATTTCTATCATGTCAGAATTGTGAGGATAGTATTTATAATATTCTCATATACCTGAAGGTTACTGTACTAAAACAAAACAAAAATCTTGTATTCGCATCACTCCGGCATTGTATGTGATGACTCTCCAAGCAACAAACATCAAGCCTGCAAATCCTGTAGAAGCTCTTTTCTCAAAAGTGTTTTGGTGAACTGATCTGAATGGCCTGGACTTCCAGGACCTGCTTTAGCTGCCGTGTCCTCTTCAGATGGGGCACTTCCTCAGAAACCTGTTTGTATGTACTGTGGACTGACATACAGCAAGATGAGCAATTTGAAGCAACACATGAGGCTATTTCATTCAGTCACAGAGGATCAAATCACTGGTCAGGAAGAGGACAGGAAGCCCATGTGCTATCAGTGTGGTAGAGTGTATAGTTCGTACAGTAATCTGAGGCAGCATATAGCAAATATACATTCTAATGGTGAACCTGCTGAGAGCTGTCATATCTGTGAGAAGAAATTCAAGACAAAGCAATATTTACACACTCATTTGTTGCAGTCTCATGGAATTCGTCAAAGAATTGTAAAATATATGACTTTCCCTCCAAATTTACCTCCGACTCATCAGTAGAGTGAGATATTGAACTCTGTGCAAAAGAGGAATTCATTACGCAAATAAACATTGCAGACTTTCCTTAAATGTGTTAAAATAATAAACTTGTTCTGTAAAACATAGTTCTTCTTTGTAATGCCTGATTTGAACAATTTTTGTGTATGGTGCCTAAATAATGAGGGCATGGGATGAAGGTATTTGCCAAGACTTCAGAAGTGGTGTGAAGGTATTTTCTCAGTAGTGTAAACTTAAGAGAGATTCAAAATTTTTTCTCCATAATCTGATAGTGTTTCTTTATGCATTTATGACAATTTGTGGGCTTAACAAATTTTTCTCCTATATTTATTCATCTGGTAAAACAATTCCAAAAAAATTTTGTAGTACGTGGTATATGCATACGTTAAAATATGTGCCAAATTTTAAACCGGAACCAGTGAATTTGGAAAGTGTATAAATTTGTGAATATCCTTGTTTTTTCATGAATTGTTGGATTCTGTTTTTTTCTTTCCTTCACTGAAGTTTTTAGACAAAATTCTTACATAGCTTCTTATTCTTTGTATATATGTTGGTGGTCATGATTTAGAACTTGCTTGCTGGGCAAGATTTAATAGGGAAGTGCAAGATCCAAGTTGCTTAATGTTACAGGGTGTGTTTTGACCAGATGATCTGTCCTTACTCTCCTATTCTCCTCTAGGGATAGCAACATTTTTCAAGATACCGATACATTGATATTGCTAAACATGGAAAACCATTTTGCTGTACTATCCTTTTAAAGTATATCCATTCAGAGGAGGAATGTGAAATGAAAAAGAAAAAAAATGTAGGAGTTGTGAAACCCATTGACAAGGTGAATATAGCCAGACACAGAAGTCTGCCACCTTTAAAAGCTGGGCAAATTGTGAGAGATTCGCTGTACATTGTACGTGAGGAGAGTTTAGAGATTTAATTCCAGTAATATTCTCAAAAAATGTTTCATTAATGCTCCACTTTAACACTTAATATCTCCCAAAAAATTTTGATCTTAATTTATTGATAAATAGAAAAAAGGAAGAGAAAAAATATCGGTGTTTTGGAAAGAAAAGTGAATTTATAATTGCTATTCCTACTTCCACCTCTCTTTTTGCCATCAAGGAAGACTATATTTTGATATTGGGCTCCCTGTCATTGCAGGGGCGATGCTAGATCACTCCTCCCTCTCGCCTCGTCGCCCCCCCTGCCCTTTCTGTGGGCGGATTTACAGCTCACCCAGTAACTTACGGCAACATGTCAACAACGTTCACGTTCAGACCTCGGACGATCAATGGCACCAGTGTGATGTTTGTGGGAAGAAGTGCAAGACTAAACATTACCTCATTAATCACAAGCTGCAAGTACACGGGATAAGGCAAAGGCAGCCTCCTGTCTGAATCACAAGTGAAAGTTTTCAGGAGAGTGTGTTATAAATATCTGGGCAGTATTGTTTACTGTAGTCTGCATGATGTACTTAAAAATTACTGCATTTTATAAAGAGAGTTAAGGGACATCTATGAAATGAATAAAAATTCATTGATCAACAAGATCCATAATTTTTACATTTCTTCCAAATTTATATTGCTTTTGTCGGTAATTTCATTTTGTTCTTCATTGCTGTCTTTTAAGAAATAATAATAATAATAATAATAATGGTCTTTTAAGAAATAATAAATCGGAAAATTTCAGAGGTAGAAACTAAAATTATTGGAAAGGTAAAGGTGGTTTTAAATTAATCTCGTGCAAATTTTAGAAGCTATTGTTGATAGTCTGACATGTAACTTTTTTAATTTTTATGTTCACTTCATTTTGATTCCGTGTAAAAAATGTTTCTCTCTCTATGAAGATGTTTTTGATACCAATTTTATTATTAGAATCTGTCGATTTATTTTTGTCTAGCACGTTTTTTGTTTTTCTTCTGAAGAAAATTAACAAAGTTTTTATGTGTTGAACACTTGTATGAAACTTTAGAATATGTACCATTTCAGAAGAAGAAAAATGTTTGGTTTATTATATAATTATTTTCTGGAAGAAAATATTAAAAATTGTTGTATGTTTAACATACTTGCCAAAATTCTTATTTGTAAACCATACTTGCCAATAATTTTGTGCTGTAGCTTCTTTGCTTTTTCTAAATTTTCAGCATTGAAGAAAGAACACTTACAAATGTGATAAGAGGAAAAATATATTTTGATGGTTTCAATTATATCTCCAAAAAGAGAACTGATTCTTAGAATTTAGTTCCTTGCTTTCAATTTAACTTTTCATTTCTGTTGTATTTGCTAGATCAGAAATAGTTTTGAGTTGTACATTACGCAAAATTATTTCACATAATATCAAGATGTAATCTTAATGCTTCTGTAAATTAAAAATAAATAGATCTATATAGTAGCTATCCTTAAGTTATCAAGATAAGGAACAAAATAAAATTTGTTCTTGTGACTGCTGTGCACTTGTTCAAGAATGGTTTCAATTGTATTGAGTTTTAGTGCAGGAAGTAGAAATGTGATGAACCTTCTTTTTTCTACTTGTAACTGATAATAATATAAGAGTTTCTTCAGTATATTTTTAAATTCCTTGTGAATTGTGCATGATAAAATACTTCTGAAGCTAAGAGAATTTAATTCAAGATGTTAATATTTGGAATGACTTTTTTTTGCTTTGAATGTGCTCAATTTTTTCAAATAAAATTAATCAGAATTTGCATAAGTTTTGTTATGTGTTATCAATACACTTGTAAACATACTTATAAGATAGTAGAAGGAATCATAGCTTACTGCAAATGATAAAAATAGTTTTCTTCCTATTTTCATTACCAGTAAATTTGGAATTTTAATTTCTACCAATCATTTGAAGCAAATTTTTGTGCTTTGAAAAAATGGGAGGAATTTGTAAAGGGAATTAAATAGTTGCATTATTTATTATCTTTTATGTCAGCAGTTGGAATGTGAAATGTATTTTTTTGCACTATATTCCACATTTTTCTGAATTGTTAAATGGTAGCTGATACATGCATTTCTTGTTTGTATCACCTCCATCAGAGCTATTTTTCTAATTGGAACCATTCTTGCTGGCCTGCATTGCAGGTGGGAGTGAGATTAGAAGTTACGAGTGCCCGCTCTGCGGAATGGTGATAGATGACCTGCTAACAATGCGGGCGCATCTTGAGCACCATTACCCCCGCGATTCCCCCATGTGCCCAGTCGCCTCATGTGCTAAGGGATTCTTGCACCCCAACTCAGTACGCAACCACATGCGCATGAAGCATGCCAAACAGTGGACCAAGATGAAGAGACTAAAATGGTCACATGTGTGAGCAAAGTGTTGTTCCTAAAGGAGTGGAGTTTTATAGGTTGGGGCTTGCAGAATAAATTTTCTTTTTTGCGCTTGTGTCCATGTGAGATTACAAGATAATATTCTGATAATGAACTAATGACTAGGAAAATTTGTATGATTAGTGAGAACTTAGTTGAAAGTGTAGTGTAAATACAAAAAATGAGACTGCAGTGTAGTGTTGTAGCCACAAGATATTATTGAAACTGACTTCATTACATGTGTGTGTTATTAGCCAATGATGAAACTTAGCACTGTGTATGCATTGCACTGACTATCACATTATGTTTATAGTTCTTGTTGCATGTGTATAAATACTAATTGGTAGGATATGCAGTTATCCTTATACGTGTTGGGGTTGTCTGTATCAACTACATCACTCAATGCAAAATTAGCACACATTGATTCCTTATCTTCATTCATTTCAATATATTCTGATAACATATCTGATTTTATTATTACTACTTTCTATTCCAGTGTAATTTTAAAATGCATTTGTATTGGGTGATTCTGACATGTAAGAATCATATGTGCCTGGTATATTTTTCTTAATTTTTTAAAGGATTACATCCCACATGTGAAACAAACTTGTGTGTTGAAATAAAGCTATTTTATTTGGCTGCACTTGGAAATAATAATTATTTCTTTAAGAAAATTTATCTATTAAAATTTATAAAAATACACACTTTTCTCCTAAAAAGTCATGTAAATAATGAATTCCCGTATTGAAATTTATGGCAAGACACCTTATTATATATTGTACAGTTCCTTAATGTATGTGGATGCATGCCAGGGGTTTAGGGTAATTGAATTCTTGTGGAATACATGTATTTGTGAATGTTTGATGTCTGTTGTGTACTTGTTAAGTTTCAAGAAAACAAGCAAACATTTTCAACTTCAATAAAGTTTTCTGTTTTGTAACGTAAGAGGTTATACTGCTATATTAGATTTAGAATTTGATATGATGTGGAAACCTTTTAGTGAGAATGTAGAGCTTGTTTCAGTGTCTCGTCGGGGCCTGGATATGATGCGGGTTCGTGCCACTGATCCAAGACCATGTCCAAAGTGTGGCAAGATCTACCGTTCCGCCCATACACTGCGTACCCATCTGGAGGATAAGCATACGGTGTGCCCTGGGTACCGATGCGTTCTCTGCGGCACCGTTGCGAAATCTCGCAACTCCTTGCATTCACATATGAGTCGACAACATCGTGGCATCAGCACCAAAGACTTGCCTGTGCTCCCCATGCCTTCCCCGTTTGACCCCGAGTTGGCATCTCGACTGCTTGCCAAAGCAGGGGTGAAAGTATCAGCAGCTGAGTTGCGAGCTCGGGCTTCTCCTACAGGACCACGTCGACCTGACTTGCGACTGGAAGTGACAAACAAGACCAACCATGTTGGAGAATCCCAGCGGTATTCTGGAGCACCTTCTGAAGCTGGGAGCAGTTTGTACGGTGGAGATGACCCCGAAGATCTGACTGTAACAAATTCAAGATTTGGAAACGTGGAACTTACTCCTCTCTCCCCACCAGCCATCAATAACAACTCAACTGCAGTCATCACCAAGGTAGGTCAGAAACACCACACTCCACCCATGGGAGCGAAGACCATCGACACCATCGCGCAGAGTCTAGTGGCTGGACCAGTCAACAGAATGGCAGAGATCAATAGAGTCCCACTTCCTCCACCACCTCCATCGTCTGGCGCTTCAACAGGAAGTGCCATTTTGGATACTTACTTGCAGTTCATCGCAGAAAATTCAAATAATGTTGCCCTCGGTATGACAGGGGAACAAGCAGCAGCACATGCAGCAGCGGCTGCTGCTGCACACGCTGCAAAGGTTGCATCTATGAACAGCGATGGTAAATTGGGCCACAGAGATCAGATTCATGATCCGGAAGCAGCTGACAGGAGTGGGGACCATGATATAGAGGATGTAGAATCATCAGGAGCAGAAGATGATGACTACAGTGAAGAAGAACAGGAAGCCATTAAAGCAGAGTGAAAAAAGGAGAAAAGCTCATTGCAGCTACAAAATCAAGAACACACAGCTCTTGTCTAGTCTCTTGTCTCCTAATATCACGGGTAAGAAATACATCGGAGATGAAGAGATTCTAGACTGAGCAGCACATGATGAATTCCATCCATCTACCTCACTTTGAAAATATCACAGCATTTTCTGCCTGAAGATGGTGAATATCCATAAGGCAGAAAGCGTAAAGGCTGCATGGAAAGTTGTAGGAGTGCATGGTTAAATGGCAATGTTCTCATAATTAAATAAAGCACCTGGGATTCATAAAATCATGTGAAGTTTTATATATATTTTTAATTTTTTGAGTGCCAGGTGTAGCAAGCATTTATGCCTCGTATAACTTTCCACTTTTCCATTTGTGGTAATTTATTTCTATTTTGTATATTTATCTTTTTTTGGAATGTTGAAATGTCAAAATATGGAGAAGCAAATGAATCCAACATGATTGACTGAATGAATTCCATCCTTCTACCTCATTTAATATTTCAACAAAGCTGAAGGAATGGCTATGTGAAATTTCCTGTAGGAAATTTTGTTACAATAAATTCAACTTCCTTTTGTGACTTGTATACACATAGCAGTCTGTATGATAAATACAGGAAGGATGTGTGTTGAGGACTTTAATTTGCATGTTTTTTTAACATGTTTGACAACTACTACACTTTAATTTTCTTGAGTGTAAGATATGTATTAACTGGTCAAATGAAGACAAGCAGTCATTTGGCTTTTAATGACTCTGTGACTTATTTGCAGAGGTAAATTTATATATAATCTTTTTACTTTTTTATCAGTTTTGTTTTTTTGTTAATGGGTGTGAAGATTAACGCTGGCATAAATAGGAGTGGATGAATGTTTTTATTAAGCTGATTGAAATGTGTGTATTCATTTTATAAAGTAAAATGTTATCAATGCAGTATTCTTGGAAGTATTACTGTTATGTAACTGAGTTTTAATTACAGATCTACTTTTAGAAATGCATAAATGCTAATGTAAGTGAGGGAAGAAAAGAGAATGATTTGGTGTTGTTAATAGTTGCAGGACCATCCTATTTGTCGTGCTTACAAATGCAAATTAGGAGGAAATAATACTTCCAAGGACCCTGCATAATAGGAGTTGATTGTGTCAGAGGTTTTGATATATTAAGGCAAGGTCAAATAACATATTTCCATGACACACATGACGATGCCTATCAAGGTTCCTACAGATAATTTATGTGAAGTAGAACTAATGTAAACTAGAAAAGTGGAGATTTCTGCTGGGAAAGTGTGCTGTGAGGAGGTGCGAGAGTGAATCCGCTGAGGGAGGAGAGGGCTTTTTTGTGTCATAGCATGGTTCCTATATCCAAGTCTGTTATTAATACGTCAGCTCTGTTTTGTTTTTGACTCACTACATGAGGGAGACATAAACGTGCACTGAATACATGAAAACCGTAAACCACACATTCAGATTTAACTATGTTACAGATATTTTGAGAAATAGTTTTATTATAGGCTAGGTAAGAATGTTATGAGTTTCCCAGCAATATATGTATTTTACATATTTGTTATTTCTGTAGGAAGCTTGCAGTGAGTGTATGTTTCTTTTTCTTAAAAAAAATATTAATGCTGGTATATATATATATTAGCAAATGGGCAGATATGGTGGGCCATTTTTATAACATTGCTGTTTGATACAATTTGTTGAGGATATTATCTGTGACAAGATGTCTGCAATCAGTCTTTGCATATGCAATGTAGGCAAGAGCTCAGCTCTTACACCTACATTCCACAGTGTGTCTTCTCATCTTAGCATTTGGCTAGAAAGGTGGCTTCCAAGCAAGCTGTTGCAACCTGTTATTAACTTGATACTGGTAGTCTTACCTCAGTTATCTGGACCTTACGTGTATATTGCAGTACGTAAATAGACTCGGGGGTTTGTTATTATAATTTTTCTTGTGACATCTTCAAAGTACAAAGTTTTGGAAACTTGTGATGATATTGTTATTACTTCCACATTTCTCTTTCTGTATGGTTCTGTCAGGGAAATCACAATTTTGGAGATTGAGTTGTGTGGAATATCACAATATCATCATTGTACCTCACAATTCTCACAATCAGTACCTCAGTATACAGTATAATAGTTATTAGGCTATTCGCCTCTATCCTCAGGAATATGCATGTAACACGCAAATGTGAATACAGTATACCTCATTCTTTTCAAGATACAACTATAATGCTTTCTGTGCCATTGATTTTAATTGTTTGCTTCAGTGACTGTTTTATGATGTGCATAGCTATATCACATACTAGGGATGAGATAGTGCAGAGATTATTTTATTTTGTATCTCACTGCTTTCTTCTAATATTTAACTTTACATATGGAATGTAAAAATGAATGTACTGAATGAAATCTTTTTACCATTGCTGGTACATTATACTGTACCTGCCCATACCTAGTCTGACCTATTGGTCTCCTTTTCTCCACCAGGCAAGCTGTGATTTCATCATAAGGCACATTTTACCATGTGTCTCCATTTAATTTTTGGTGTGCATTAGCATCAACGATATTGCAGAATGTAAGTTTTATACTTTCTTACCCATTAGCATAAATCTGTGTACCAATGCTGGTAAGTTGATTTCAAATACTTCTTTTAACATAGGGCAAATCCTCTCATCCCTGGTTATGTCCACTTTTCTGTGCTTATGGTGGTTTTAAAAATATTTTCAAAGCAACATAGCATTCAGCAAATGTTTTGGTTTTTTAAACAAATACAATTATCACACAAATGAAGATTACAATTTCCAATGGTAATGTGAAAACAATCAAGCAGTAATATTTACCGTAATACACCATTATTAATCTTCCAGTATCTCTTAGTAGGTCTGCGGAAACTTCCATTCATATATGATATAATAGTTCTTCCAGTGGTGGATGCAACAACTGTATGCAGAATTACTCAACTTTTCATGTATTTTTTTATTTTCGTATATATATGTTCTGTGCAAATGACCCTCTTCTCTTGCCCACCTTCCTTACCCCATAGTACTTATTTTTTATACCTCGCAAATTTTAAGCAAGGTCATTCGTTACGACCTTCCCTGACTGTCTTGTTGGTCTGTTCACACCAACACTGTGGAACAAATTATGCTCTGACTTCAGAGTTTTATATAATCTAATGTAACCATTGATAAAATCAGTAGTTGGTACATAGTAGATTTGTACATTTCATAAATGAAATGTGTATAGGAGTGGTGTGAGCAGTCTAATATTGTAATACAATAGATGCTGTAGATCAGAATTAACAATTCATATTTTAAATTGACAAAGTGGGTTATGCATTTGAAGAACACTCATATTATTGGGCAGTAAAAAGTCAATAACAGCATATCTCGCAGGCAATTTTGAATAAATTTCACATGATTTGCATTGCTGATCCCAGCGATACAAATTATATCTATCCCACGTACTTGTCATAATTTATATCTGAATGTTACATTCAAAAAATATAGCAAGCTATTCCTAAAAAATTAGTTACTGGAAAGTTTTCAAAATTTGCTGTGGACTCTCCATATGCCCCGCATACAACTTTCTGGATGTATAATTGTAACTGGCAAAAAAAAAAAGCTTTCACCAATAAAACTGAAACTGTGTAACAAACATATATCTGTATATGATTGTTGTTCTATAGACTATAAAAACTGCAGCATCTTTACAAACCTTAATATTGTGTATAGTTGGAGTCATAGATCTATTAAATCAATTAGAGTAAAAAGAATTGTGTGCTGACATGAAGATTGAGAAATGTTTAATACTATTATTGCAATGTTGTGTATGATGAATATGTGTTAGTTGTTGCTGTTTAATTTTTGTTTAACTTTCATTGAGCCTGAAATGACAATTTAATCCCGGTATTATATTACTTTGCACTCGGGAAGCATAGTAAATGTTGTCACTTAGTGTTTAAGTAAATTAGGCGTGGTTTTTACTGTTCCCTATGAAGCTATAACATATTGCTAGTAAAAAACGGTGCTTTTCAATCTTATCCTTTTGCTTGTATAGTTTCTTTCTCCTAATGTGTTTAGATTTGAATTGTAAATAACAATCATGATAGTTTTGGAGAGCTATGATGCCCAAAAGATTCTTTAGCTATTTACATTAGATTATAATATACTGGAAAGCTTTGTTGGAATTTTTTTCCGGGTTAGAATGTAAAAGTAACTGTAGATGTTAGGACTAACTGAAGAGTTGTATTCAGCTATGTTTCTTGCTGGTGTGATACCAC